GACAGCAGTGATCCAGGAGTTAGAAATTCAAGCTTCAGAGACACAAGACTGCTGCTATTCAATTTTGTGGTATACCTGAGAGACATTTGAGAAGAAGCCTGTCAGAGTTTTGCAGGCTGCTCAGCATTCATTTATTTAACTAAAGTCTTTCCTCGGGACTTGCGTTGGTCACCTGCATTTTTGTTTCCGCTCTTACTGTATGATCTGGTTCTGGGTCAACTTCAGTTCCCACACTGCTCTGAGGCACTGAGGACAGGCGACAGGGCCAGATGTGCTCTGAGGGGCGTCACCAAACCCCAGTAATGCCACAGGCTGGTGCTCTGGCTCCTGCACTCATAGCATAATACAGTTTGCCAGCTCAGAAAGTGATTCTCACTGAGACAGATTGATGGGGATTGCTGTCACCTCCTGTTGTGTCTCGGGTGTGACTGACTTCCTAAGACCTCTCAGGAATTTTTGCCAAACGTATTTCTCTTTAGGGGCTTAGGACACTGTTGATATCCTTGACATCTCCTCCTCTTTTCCCCTGGCAGACTGGAATTTTTATGGGGTTTGGTGCCTTATATAGAAGGGGCTAAAGTATTAATGAGTGTTGGGGTTTTCCATGTGGCTTGAGGAGGTCTGAGGTTCTTGTAGTTCTCCTACCCTTAACACCTACTGAGAGGCTTACTGCAAAAGAGGAAGGCTTGTGCTCAGTAACCTATGTTGCTTCTTCCAATCCAACATGCTATGCTCTCTTTCAATAGCAAAACATGGTACAAAATATGCAGAAGATTTTAAAGAGAAACTAGGTCACTGGACTTTATACTGAAACACATCCTCTTGGGTTCTTCTGCCTCATCTGTGCCAGAAGCGGAGGAAACTAATTTATGACTTATGAACTCCTCTGTCCCTTCGGGGCAGAAAGGCATTTTCCAAAGGAAAATGGAAACCTCACTAATAGCCCCAGTCTTTTGACAGATCCTTGTGCGCTTTGTACAAGTGGAGGAAAGGAGTCCCTATTTTCTCCACTGTTCCTTGCGCTGTTGCATAAAGGCAAGTAAGTTATACAATAGCTAAATAGGGATTACACAACTAAGCTCCATAAATCTAAATCAGAAACAGAGTCTCTATCCTGCACTGGACAAACATAAAAATGTGGAAGGGAGAAATTCTGGTCCTAATGAAGTTAATGGCAAAGCTCCTGTGTACTCCAGTGAGATCACAGTTTCATCCAAAATCTAGGCTCAAGCCTGTAGTTGGCTGACCAGGCTGGATATTTAAAGCATATTCCTGTTAAGTTTTTCCAAGTACTGGGATAAGACGACCTTCCTTTTTTCTTCTTTTTTTTTTTTAAGCTTTTTGCTTATAATAAAGAAATGCATGAAAGTATTTTAAGACCAAGTACTGAGCAACCACTTGCAAACCTGAATTGGAAGCCTAAAAAGGGCCTGACATACCATCTCTAAGTGCAAGAACAAATATTAGCAAAGTAGTTGTTCCCATGCTTCAGTGTCAATACTTTAAGCCACTGAAAGCTGCTGCTGAGTCACACTACTTGGGTATCAGAGGGAAAGATGGGAGACCCTGACTTGGGGAGGTTGGGAGTCCAAACAACAAAACCCAAATATCAACAAAATAAATAAAGGCTCCTAATGAACCTGAGACCTAAGCTCTGCAAGTAAATAACTTTGTGAAATGATCCACTGTGCTACAAGAACTGCAGTGCAGCAGAGTGTCACTGGAACTGTTTGGCACACAGACCAAACTAATTACTTTACAGTTGTTTTAGTTTGGCCTAGGGTGGACAGCAGTGCTGGGTAAGAAAAGCCACTGCAGTTTCTTCATGTCTCTGGGCTCATCTGGTCTGACTATTGAAAACTATTGCTGTTACATTGAATGCTAGCATGTACACCAGGGCTCCCCCACCCACAAGATTCCTGCCTGATGAAAAAGAAAGGAAAAAAGAAAAGAGGAGAAAAAGGAAAGCTTGTGCAATCAGGGCCATACATCACATGTATTCCCAGCCCAAGGGTTATTTTTCTCCCCCTCTTCCCTAAAGCATCTCTTAACAACTGAGCTGATTCAATGCAGAATGTCATTAACAATCTAAAGTGAACAAGGACTGGGGATCATCCTTATCTTACAGAAGCAAGCTATAAATAATCATCTTGGCCAAATCTAACATCCTGACAGGGTGGTAGGATCCCAAAAAACTGATTCCAGTGTATTAAAAAACACAAATGCTGAATCATTTCTTGCAGAGTTTTTTGGAGCTATGTGAATTCTTCCAACAAGCATCAGATAAAGCTGTCAAGGTTGGGGAAGAATTGCTTCTATGTATGTGATTAAGCCCGAGCAGTTAAAAAGGCTTGGCCTGCTATAAACAGTTAGGTATGGTAGGTCAGTGCCATCCCAGTGTCATCCCTGACAGTTTCGTTACTTAGGCCTGCAATGGATATAATTCTCCAGGCAACCATCTGGAAAGTCATCATAGCCTTGACTGTTTCATGACCAGCTTCTGACCAGCCCACATATGGCCCAAGCAGGGGAGGCCAAAACCTCACAGACTCAACTGTAACTTCCAACTTTTATCACTGTGAAATATGGTGGCATGACAGGCTGTGGTCCTGTCCCTCTTCTGCACCAGCCAGAAGCCAGCTGGAACATAAAGGGCCAGAGAAATGGTCCTTCTTGTTTTTCTCACTGTGCAGAACAACTGACTACCCAACTTTAAGTTTCATACCCATCCATCATACTGCAAGCTTACACCATCAATTTGGATGGAGCCATGCTACTTTACATCTTTATTCATCCCCTCTGACACTTGTCTACCTCTCTTCCCTTCATTCACATTTGTGTCTTTTACTAACACCTCTCTACACTTACCTTTCCTGCCTTATTCGTTCCCTCTCACACATCAATGATTGTACCCTCTTCACACTACTCCCTCTTTCTTTTCCTTTGTTACACCCTGGACCCCACAGATTCTCCCTTGGCCTCAAAAAAGTGATGTAGAGGGAGAGAAGAAGGAAAAAAGAGAGTGGTTCTGTACAAGTGGCAGTAAGAAATGCAGTGTACCCCTTGAATGAAGTCCTTTGAGAGGTACCCAAGGACTACCCAGGTTACCCAGAATTTCCTTTGGTGAACCCCTGCTTTCTCCAGGCCATAGGTCTTGTTCTAAATTTGTGCTTCATTGGCTAGAAGCTTTGCTTGAGTGTTCATGCTTAAGACTCAAGGATTAAACCCAAAGGTACATGAACAGGTAAGATGACTCCAGAGTCAGTACGCTATCATGTGTCTGTGCAAGGCCTCAGTCGTCCCCAGGACACCCATACAGTTATTTAGCTTCCATCTTTTTTTGCAGGTAGTTTTTCTGCAGCAGGGAGTTATTCACTTTTCCAAAAATAAGCAGAGCATTTATTGTTCAAAAATGCTGCCTCTGACTGTCATGGCCTTGTCAAACACTCACTGTTAAGCATGGACATTCATTCTTAAGCATAATGACGAACATGGTAAACAAATCCAGTCTCACCTAAGTACAAAACAGAGACAGCGCCTCCAGTCCCAACAAGTATTGGTCATACTTCAGATGCAAAATCAAGAAACCCTGGCCTTTAGTGCTCACTGGTGTCCTCACAAACACAAACAGAGGCAGTGATTACCATTCCGTATATTTTTCCAAGTTCTGAAATGCAGTCATGCTTGTTTTACATTGACCAAATACCTTGAAGTGCCAAGTTTCCAAAATAACAAAATGTAAGAGTAGTCTGGCTCATACATTTACTAAATACTACGTTTGCCTTTTGAAAGAAAAGACAAAGAACAGAGGAGACTGTTACTTCTCAGCTGTTAAGTGAAACAACACTCAACAGTAATTCTTGTGTGTAGCTTCCTCTGCCCTGACCAGCCCCAGCCAGACAATCCCTTTCCGGGCATCCCACAAACGCTGGCGCTCAGGTGACACTCTCCTTTGTCGACACAGCAGCCCAAATTAGGTGGCCAAGGAAGGGGCCTTCATTTTATCTATAAGGAATTCATTGGCAACAAGTCATGTGAGAGGCAGATAATGTGCTTAAAGATGCTGAGTGGCTTATCTTACAGAATAAACTCTAGGGTTTATAAACTAGCAGCTTGGCCACAGATTGCCTTCCCCAAGCCACAAACACCTGATAGCTTCAGTTCCAATCATGAAATTACAAACATGGTAGCAAACAGCAAATGCTGTCAACTACATGACCTGGCACGTAGTACAAAGACAACATCAACAACAGTAATTAATGTACGCAGTCCTATTTATCCCAGCGATCCTAGAAGCTCTCTGCAAACTTCAGAGATCATTTTATGGCGACCAAGCTTAGGGAAAACAGCCTGGGCCAGAATGAACAAGTGCAATGGGCTACTCTTACTGTCAAAAAACAACTCTTTACTACAAGCAGTAGGACTAAAGACCTCGCTTAAGGCAGGAAAAACTAACTGACAGCCTTTCAGGTGCTGAGTATATAACAACTTCTCACCTAGTCTCTTCCTGAGTAAAATAACTGGTCCACTGCTGCTGCCCAATACTTACATGTCCTCTAGTAAACTGAAACATTATACAATACCCTAAAGTTACAATTTCCATTTGTCTTAGCAATATATAAGAACATATTTTAATAACTTCAAAGTGTTGGGCCAAATTTGATTACCCACTCATCCTTTTTTCTGCTGCTGCTTCTTCTTCACTAAAGCCAAGCAAACATGCAAAATTCCTGTTCAGAGAAAAAGTCCTTTCTGTGATTTATTATTAGAATATAAAGCCAACATATATAAAAAACAGGACATGCCAATCTTACTCTGATTAACTCTCTCCAAATTTACCAAAACTTTGTAATTCAAAACCAGGTTCTCCATATGCCAGCCCCTAAATTACCTGACAGACAGATGGTAGAGTATAAAAGCAGAATCAGTCACATCAATGTGGTAAGATGACTGAAACTGAACAAGTCCTAGGTTATTAGTAATTACAGCAGTTCACTTACCCTATAGTAGTCCGTGCTGTACACATCTCTAGACATCCCAAAATCCCCAATCTTCACCAGTAGGTTCTCACCAACCAGACAATTCCGGGTAGCAAGATCCCGATGCACGAAGTGCTGTGACGCCAGGTAAACCATACCAGCTGCAATCTGCTGGGCAATGTGAAGCATCTGGGATTGGGTCAGCTCAGCAGGACGGTTGCCTTCTGCCATCAGTACCGCATCTGGTCCATGTGCCCTGCACCAAAATACAAACTGATTAAGTGATAGGCCACTTGTAAGCTGGAGAGATGAAAGGCATTAGTGAGCCTAAAACCACACAACTGACTCGCTCAAAAATAAAAGGGCTACAAATTCATTGGTGAAATAGGGGGAAATTTGTATCTCGGCTTTTTTATTTACTGTTTTTCTTCATTGTGTGAAAGACAGCTGGTGTGAAGAGCATTACACAATAGGTGATATAATACTTATGGAAATAAGGCACATGCCTTCATAATAATACCCCTCTGTCCGAAGCCATCACTTTTCTCCTGTACCGTTCTAGTAATCTTTTCTGGGGAAAGGCTGGCAAATGTAGCTGTTTGGTAACTGAGGAAAACCTTATTACTCTATAAGAGTGAAAGGCAATAGAGTGAAAGGCAATGAAGTAGCATGTATAGCATTGCTTTTCCTTGATTTCTACAGGGAGACAGGCCATTGACCCTTCCGTCTTTTCATAAAGAAGAAAGAGCTAACTTCCTTCTGAGATGCCATTTCAGAAACAAGGGCAGCAATTTTAGATTTACACTTCTAATTTCCTATCCAAATGCACAGCAGGAAACCATTTTTGCTTATTTCATCACCAAGGGTGAGTCCCACCTGAGATGGGAATTCTTGACAATAGGAAGAGGACACAAAACACACACTATTTGGAACATCTAACAGCTTCAGAAATACAAGTGAGTCCCTAAGATGCAATAATCAACTGATTAATGAGAAACTTGTATACGCTCCAGCAGAAGGAGAGACGTTTTGCATTTGGAAAGCCCAGCAAAGTACTGGAACAAATGTGCTTCACGCATCTTAACTATGTTAGCTCTGGTATACATGTGTAATATCCTAGTATCTTGCAGATACAGATATAAACATACCTACACACAACATTTTATAGTAAGCATTACTAGCTAATCCTTATCCAATTAATGAGGTCATCTGGCAATCATTCCTCATTTGATACACCTTATAATATTCTGAATATCCCTTTCCATCCATTCCATTATTTTGCATTTTCAGAAGCCTTTTTTATTCCATTCCTGAAGACTATTCTTTCTAAGAGACCACCTCTCCTCTTCCCTCCTCAACTTTTTTTTTTTTAAAAATACTCTAGAACTGATTTTTATTTTCTCCCAAAAGTCTTTCCTTCCTACAAAGAGGAGTTTCAGAGAATTACCTTTCTAATCAATAGAGGTGAGGCCTTACTTCGTCCCTAGGGGAAGGGCACAGGAGTTTGGAAAAGAGTTGCAAATTAATCAAAATCTGTGAGATCAAATCTGATACTACCTATTAGAAATATGATATTAAAATTGCCCCAAGGGAAGAACTTCATGAGCAAAGTGACAGATGTGAGAAAGAAATGAAGGAGGATGTGTAGCATTGCTGGGACTCATCTGGTACCAGGCAAAGAAGGTCTCTGCCACAGGGTACATACAGGCAGCCATTCAATTGGTCTGGGTTGCGAGGGAATAAACAGGAGGATATGAAATCTCCAACCAAGACTCACAAGCCTATTGAAAAGCACTGTACCTTTTCATTGCATGGATTTTTTTAATGACTGCTCTCAGACATGAAGCTCTGAGTCGCTAAATTAGAGAACTCTTCATCTTTCGCTAGCTTCCTTGAGGACATGGTCTGTATCTAAGAAAACTTTTGGGTTATTCTTAACACTCCATCCACTTGGATGTGTGTTGTCCTCTTGGTGCTGGCTGTAAATGAGATGCTCCTCAGTGTCCGCAACTGCCAGGAACATTGACAGAGATTTCTTTGGATCCACATCAGCCTTCACTAGCCAGAACAAGCACAGGGCAGGCATGACTTTGAGGCTTTAGTCCTAGATCTGAAACAGCCTTTGGCTGCCTGCAGACAGCAAGGCTCATTTGGGTTAAATTTCGGATTCTTTTTTCCCTGACAGCCTTTGGTGGCGCTGCAGGGTAAGAAATGCAGGCTCCCACAGCGCGCTTACAACTAACCGCTGATCTGCAGCACAAGCTGCAGCAAATGCGAGAGGAATGACAAATCGGAGCTTAGGTTTAACAGCTTGTCCCAGCATAATAATTTTATGTTCTGAAGACAAGGGCTGATTAATAATTAAAGAAAGAGAAGACCTAAAGTAGGAAATATACTGTCTGCTAAACTACCTTTCTGTACCATAATTCAAAATCAGAGTTACGAGGTAAGAAAAGGCCAATCAAAAAGAATCGAAGAATAAATATTTCTTACGAAATAAGAAATTATTTATCAGCTGCGAATCTGGCTTCTTCTAATGGCAATTCAATGTTCTGAAAAAGTACTGGATGGCATCTTAGGAAACTGCAACTCTCTCCTGATCCATGGCAGAGGTCAAGCAGGCAAATGTAAATGTCCCAACATGGCTCTGACAATATAGTTAAATCCTCTGCCAGAGAGACAATCAGTCTGGGAAAAGTAGTAGGGCTTGCTCTGCACCCCCAGTTCAGGCCCCGCTCTCCCTGCCAAACCTGGCAGCCTTGCCAATAAGGAAGGATGCTAGTTGATGTCATTTGCTTTTACGGTGTGGCTATTTGTTCAGCGGAGATTAGAAAGACAGCAAACTCACTTCACATAGGCTACCAAAAATGCATAAATGGCGACACTAGCAGTCACTAGCCATTTCAGTCAGATAGATCTGAACCCATTTAAAAGGACATCACTTTTCACTGGTTTACAGCTTTGTCACAGATATCTTTCCGAAATGGTGGTACCCCTAGTTACCTTCGGCAGGAGAGATCTCAGTACATTGAAATGCCTTTGTGATATCATTTGATGAAAATTACATAGAAGACCCTGAAAGAACAGTCCCTTATGCAAACGGTTTTTTTACATAGGAGCAAAAGTTGCCTCTTAACTGCTTATTTTTATGTCAACGAGTGCAGGCTAGTGAAATGGCACATATACAAGGCCACTGTTCATAACTTCCTGGTTCATGAGTTACCTATTATTGTGAAGCTCAGGTATTATCTATTTATTTATGACTGCTTTACTGCCAAATTTCAATTTCCGATGCGCATTCCTGAACAGCCCTAATTGAGACCCCAAGATATAGCATTTTCCATTGCACTGAAGTTTCCATGGCTCACAGTTTTCTTGCTTCAGATTAACGTCAGTCTTTCCAAAACACTGAGAGGAGGGAAGAGAAAAGGGGTTAGATTTCCAAAGCTCTTATACGCCTACAGATAGCGATAGGTGTTGAGTGGGATCTTCCCAAGTGCTACCAGAAAGCTGCAAGAAAATGATTCTTTTTGTAAGATTTATAATCAAACATTTCAGAATACACTGAAAGATATTGGAAACAATATTTCTTTGGTTCCCATTCCTTTGGTGCAAAGCATAAGGCTTGACTTAATGGTACTTCCAAATATGCAAAGAAACAATGAGCCCCACATCCCAGTACAGAAGACAAGAGTTGCACAGATTTGCACTCCTAGGTGTCGGCATTTTCCAGTGGTAGTAGTTAATTTGACAATAAGTACCAGTAACACCTACCTTCTCTGCCTACTTCTGGCTCAGCAGCACAATATGTGTTCGCAGATTTACCTGAGGAATTTGTTAAGATCTCCGTGCTTCATATACTCAAAGACCATGATGAGCGGATCACCCTCAACACAGACACCGTAGAACTTGACGATGTGCTCGTGTTGCAGGTTAGTTAGCAGCTCTGCCTCGCGGTGGAAGTCCTTGCGGGCATTGTCGCTGGCATCCTTCAGTGTCTGGCAGAGAAAACGAAAATGTAAGGAAGGGGAGATGTTCACAGACGGTAGCGAACATGTGGGATGGCACTGTAAGGGTAAGATAAGGACACCCTGCTGCATAAAGGATGGAGGAAATACTTTCTTAATAACTCTCTTAGAGATGCAGATGTGATGTTTAAGTGCAATTAAATAATGGCAGTACAATTTTCATTCTCCTGCCACACGTCACCCCAAACAATGATTTTTCTTGCAAAAGGATGTAGGAATACTCATAATCTTACTGTGCCAAGTGTTTTTCAAACACAGAACAAATAAACTGATCTTATCCAAAAAATATACTAGTACACAGCTGCTTCATATCCTTTAGCATTTAACTCAGGCAAACCCTAGTATCCTGTTGGTATTTACCTTTCTCGTAAGTTCTTTAAAATAAAACTCTGCTTGCTTAAAATACTTAGTGGAAACATAGATGTGTTCTTTATGTATTACTAATGTCGCTGTTGCTGATGTTGGCCCCTATGGTGTGCTATACATTAGGTAGATCTATACAAGGGTACGTCCCTGGACCAGAAACTTACAACCTGAGACTTCAGCCAGAAACTCCTTTGAAATTCAGTAAATCTACTCACATGCCTAAGATTAAGCATATGTATAAGTAATTGGAGGAACAATCTTAAACTGACAGACAGAGAGGAAGTAGATGCAGATCAGAATTCTGGGGTGTCAATTTTTCTCAACCCTTTTTATTTATACAGCTCTAAACTCTTGCGTATTTTCATTTTGAAGGAAATATATCAACACTGGATCAAATAGGAGGCTTAAATGTTGTATAATGAAATAATGCTAATTTAACTGCCACACAGAGGCTGTTTCAGATCTCTTTTTAAGAACTACACTTCCTGAGCAAGGAAACACTTTCATGCACCAAAAAAAGCAAATTCTGACACCAATTAAATGACGAATAATTATAATTAATAATAAACCACTAGTAGGCTCTACCTTCAAAAGGTATAGTGATCGCACTATACTAATTCAAACAATATTTTTAAAACACTAAGAGAAAGATAGCAGGTTACCAATGTTCACAAATTATTATTCACAGAAACTGATGTCTGGGCTCTGTACCTCTGGATTTTAACTACACCTAGACTTAACACAGAGGAAGATGAGACACAAAAGTAGTGGCATTGTTTTTTTTTTTTACTAAAGATGCTTTTTCCTGGCCATCTAATCACTTTATTTTCTACCCTGAATTCATATACAGAGCATGGGACCAACTACACTCATCAGAACAGACACAGAAGAAGCTGATACTGTGCAATCATTCTGCTAACAAGCCCAGTTTTTAACTGCAGTAGTCATGGTTTGTTCAAGCTTTTTCTTTAACAGAGACAATTCTGTCCACTTTTCTAGTATTATACGTACACATGTGTGAAGAAGGGACTAAAAGATGACTGTCGGAGAAAACACTTGCTTTACGTGTGAAACTGCAACCACAGGTCTTGAAAAATGAACAGCTACCATAATAAAGTTCAGGTGGGGGGACAAGGAGCAGGGCAGACTGGATAGCCATCTACCAAGTTCAGGGTCTTTTCCCTGTGGAGTTCAGGCTCTATCAGGATCCTAGAAGCAACAGAAATCACTCATGCCCCAGATGTCCCATTTCCTGAGGGTCCCACTTGTGAATCTCATGTGTCTTCAGGCCCAGAACCCTTCTTCCACAAGTTTTACCAGTAATGATACAACAAGGATATTGCATCATGAAAGTTTCACAAACTATGATATATTAGTATACACAGCTATATCATCTAAGGTGGATATCGAATTGGCACCCCAGTACGGTCCCCACACAATCACATCTGAACTGAGCGAGGACTGAAACGGAAATGTCTTCCAACACATCCGGGCTCTGGGATGATGCTTTAACACGATACAGGCACCAACCCACAGTCCAATCTACGCTGTGAAATGAAATCACTGGGAACAATTCTGTTGTCACTTGAGTTTCCTCTGGTGGTTTCATGTATAAAGCAATTGGACTGTAATTCTTCTCAACAACAGAATTAGAAAAACAATTCATATAAAAAACATTTTTAAATAATAGCAACCTGGAAAAAAATTGACAGGGAGAAGCATAGGCTGATGCTCTTTCCAGCAGGCTC